CTTTCCTTCATCTCTTCAATACCTCTGTACACCTCCATTATAGCAGTGAGCTCACAGCAGCTTGGCTATTTTTTACCTGTGACTTTTTCATCACATCTTATTAATCATTCATTCAGCGGATCTTTGTTGAGTGTTTAACCTCCGCGAGGCATTGTGCCAGGTGTTGATGCAGAAATAACTGAGACTCTGCCCTCAAGAATCTAGTAGCCTCCTTGGGGAGAATGAGAACCAAAGCTACAACCAGGCAGTCTTGTGAGTAATTACAACTAAAATGTGATACCTGCTGACTGGTGGATCACCAAAGTCCTGTAGGCACAGGGAAGAAAGAACACCACCAGCCAGAGCTGGGAGAGGTTCTAGGAACTTGAGTGGATCTTGATTGATGGGTGAGGACAAGCTAACTGAGATGGGGAAGCGGTGACTCGATGGATTTTTTCTCTGTAAGAGCCCGAACAGGAAGAGTGGTATTCATGTGGGGAAACATTCACACCGCTTTTCCTTTTACTCCCTTCCCCGCTGGAGAATCCCCTGTAGGTGCCCCTCATGAGGGATTCTTGTGTTTCTCACTCTCACGTGTGGCTCGGGGGGCTGACAGTCAGACACAGCTGTCGGCATTTCCGCAGTTTCTTGGATTCTGTGAACAAAACATTTACGTAGCACTTCTCTCTCACAAACCCACGTCTTCCAGCCCCAAAGTTAACTGCTTTGGTTGAAATGTGTGTTTTCACAAGGGTGTCCTCTTTACAGTTAGATGTACTGTATTATTACTTGAATTTCAGGCGGTCTTCAAATATTTCTCTACTGTAAAGTTACTATTTTTTTAAAAATTTACAGTGGGGCCTTGACTTACGAGTGTCCCGACTAATCAGTTTTTTGAGATACCAGCTGTCTCTCAGCAGATTTTTTTGCATTGAATTGATAGAGTAATTTGAGTTAACGAGCTCCATAATGAGCTCGGTCTCGGAACAAATTGAACTCGTAAGTGAAGGCCCCACTGTATTTTTATTGATTTTAGAGAGGAAGGGAGAAGGAGAGAGAGGTAGAAACATCAATGATGAGAGAAAATCATTGATCGGTTGCCTCCTGCACGCCCCCTACTGGGGATTGAGCCCGTAATCCAGGCATGTGCCCTTGGCTGGAATTGAACCTGGGACCCTTCAGTCCGCGGGCCTACGCTCTATCCACTGAGCCAAACCGGCTAGGGCCGAAGTTACTATATTAACAGGCCTTCAAAGGGTCCTCGTGGCTGAGTGCCATAGAAGCCAGGGACTGTCCTGGGGCCCTGAATATTCCAACCCGTGCAGCACAGGCTGGGGTCAGGCAACTCCTTTGAAGGCCTGGTCCTGCTGCTCTCTGGTGTGGTTTGCATCTTGGTAAAATGCAGGGGAAACGTGCTTACCTGGCAGGATGAGCTGAGCTGATAATTCGTGAAATAATGCTCTACAGTGGATGGTGCTATTCCCGGCGTGTAGTATGTTGTTAGTAAATGGCAGGTGTCTGTTTTTGGTGACGTTATTATTATGTTCAGCAGATTCTTGTATGGGCTGGAAAGATGTCTTAGGTAGATACTGAATTATCAGTTTCCTTGAGATCAAGCAGCCTTAGGAGAGGTGGAGGTTGGAGGGTGAGGGAGGGGGATCCTAACCCCTGTATGTCTTCGTATGTTTTTCTAAACGTTGCTAAAGCAGTTCTTAAAACATCACAGCTTGCCTTTGTAGGAAAGCTGAAATAAGGGAGGGGGACATTGGCCATTTTTCCCTCTTTTGTCTGAATTGAAGGTCACTTCGTTTAATTAACTGAAGACACAGCCCTTTCTTCATTTCATATTCACCCGGCTCCTGAGTGTAGTTCAACAGCCTTGTTTACAACACTTTAAGTAAAATTCTTCTTACTCTTTAGTATACATCCCTCCTCCTAGAGCAGTGATGGTGAACCTTTTGAGCTCAGCGTGTCAGCATTTTGAAAAACCCTAACTTAACTCTGGTGCCGTGTCACATATAGAAATTTTTTGATATTTGCAACCATAGTAAAACAAAGACTTATATTTTTGATATTTATTTTATATATTTAAGTGCCATTTAACAAAGAAAAATCAACCAAAAAAATGAGTTCGCGTGTCACCTCTGACACGCGTGTCATAGGTTTGCCATCAGTGTCCTAGAGGGTTATTTACTTAGCGTGTGTCCGTGTGAGTTCCTGGTCAGGGGGCAGTGGTGTGTTTAGAGTTTGGGGTTCTTAATGACAGACCCAGGGAACTGAGATCGCAGTGGAGTAAGTGCTTCTATGTTATTGGTCTCGTCTCTATGTCTGAGCCTCATGTCACAGAAATGTCCGACAGGTGTCTCATGAAAGGACTCTTTCCTTGGTAGGCACAGGATTAGGCAACTATAAGGTGCTCTAGAAATAGAAATAAAATCCGCGCAAAGTAGATTTAGAGCATCGCTTCCTGTGCTTATCGCTGAGAATCCCATTGCCTGTTGTCACCCCTGTGCTTTCTTCTCACCCACCCCCGTAGGAAGAACGTTGGTGAAAAGCACAGAAACCAGTGACCTTTATGGCTGTGGAATTTCCGTGAAGAGACGCACCTGGACCATGTTTCGCACCTGGTAACCCTCCACACTCCCCGTGTGTCGTGAACTTGAGCGCACGGCTCAGGGTGCTCTCGGAGGAGGGAGCCCGCCTGGCCTGCCCACGAGGTGGGGAGGGGCGGGGGGAGGTCGGGAGGGAGAATATGGAGCAAGTCTTTTACAACCTGAACCTCAGAACTGTGATCCTCCAAGGAGAGCGCTACTTGAAGAAAAGAAAAGACAAAAAAAAAAAAAAAAAAAAAAAAAAAAAAAAAAAAAAAAAGTCGAATGGCTTCTCAGGGATTTTGTTTTCTGTGCACATATAAGCCATAGTTCCAGCGCAGGTGGCAGTCTTTAGAGCACTCAGATTTCAGTTCTGTTCAATGTGAACGAGGGCGCGCCTGGCCATTCATTGCTGTTCCGCAACTAGTGTAAAATATGTACATGTTTATCTTTATTTTTATAATATGCAAAGACATTTAAATTTATACAGTTGGAAGCTTCTAGCGTTAGTGAACACTGGGTGCAATATTCGCATGAGAACTGTGCCAAGACGGGGCTGACGTCTTATTTTAGCGTAAGACCTTTCTGTTCATTCTTTACTCTGTAATCCTTGGCAGATTAAAAAACGAAAAAGATACCGGTCTGCCCATGGGGTCAGGGCTGGCTCGCAGAGGTTGCCAATAGTCTGCAAGGTGCACGCAGGCACCGACTCCTCTCCTTCTGACGAAAGGCCCTGCCTGTGAGCCGCTGGGCGGGTGCGGGGTTGTTCCTTTTCGCTGCCACATGTCACTGCTGCCGAGCACAGTGTTCCTCGCTGACCGTCTGTGGTCACTGGTGATGCACCGATGGAGGTCTGGGGTTAGGGGTCTTTAGCTGGAGGCCGAAGCATTAGCGAGTCCATTGAAAACCTGAGTCTTTCCATTAAAAAAATTTTTTTATTGATTTCAGAGAGGAAGGGAGAGAGAGAAACATCAATGATGCAACAGAATCATTGATCTGCTGCCTCCTGCATGCCCCCTACTAGGGATGAAGCCCACAACCCGGGCATGTGCCCTGCGCGGAAATAGAACCATGACCTCTTGGTTCATGGGTCGGTGGTGCTCAACCACTGAGCCACACTGGCAGGACCTGAGTCTTTCAACAGCTTAAGATAATCAGGAGTCAGTTCTGAAACACTCAGAGAGCTCTCAGAGTGAGTGCTCTTTTTTCTAGGACAGAGTCTGTGAAATGTAGCAGAGCACTTGGCAAGCTCCACATCTGGCTGTCAGGCCTTCAGATAGTCAATGGCCTAATTGGAGAGCATAATCCCCATTGGTTATTTATAAATACAGAGCCTCTGACTGGTCGGTCTTCTGCCAAGAACTAGGAAAACTTGTTTTAAAATCTCCACAAAGCAAAACGGAAGAAGCAAACCAAACAAATTGCTTTCCCTTCGATTCCTAATTAGGGCCAAGCAGCATCCCCTGCAGTAGTAACACCCTCTCCTCTGAGGGATGTGAGGGACCATTTACACCTGCCTCTGCATGTTGATCGAAAATGTGTAAGACCATTCTCAGCCTTGTGAGGCAGGAAAAGGGAGTCCGCTGGTCGTATTCTTTCATAAAGTATTAACTCTTGGAATGCCACGGTCCACAAAGTGTCAACAAGCAAGTGGCTGCATCACAAAAAATCACGAATCAATTTTTGTAGACTATTTTGTGCCCCAGGAGTTAACTTGACCAATTCCAGAATCTCCAGTTAAACAGGGGTGATTTCTGATGATCAGGAAACCATGTGGAATCAGACTGTTTCTCCATTTTTAAATACTTGAATATGACACCTCAAAATTGAGATTTTGCTCTCTTGACAACAGTCACAAAAATAGTCTGGTTGAGCCTTTTGTCACAGTTCTCGTGTGTGTGCATGGGCGTGTGTGCTTGTGTGTCAACTGAATGCTAATGTTTAATTGCTTTGTGGACCGTTGAGTCGTAAAAGTTTTTAATTGGCACGAGACAGTTCCTAAAATGTCAAATTAACGGATTTTGCCCCGTCTTTTGTAAAGATTCTTAAGTGTGTGACTTTGAGCTAATTCTCCTGGGACCATATTAAATGAAAAAAAAATGCCCCTTTGGGTGACATACCCTGAAGAGTGTGTGCTGTTATTATGAACATAAATGTCCACGTTCTTAATATCAATTTTTCAACAAGTGATGTTTTGTGCTGTCATCCGAACCCTAGAGAAGCAGAGTAAGAAGAAATCTTGGGGTCACATGTGTTTAAAAAGACCATGCAGTCGAGGGTCATGTGACTGAAAGCAGCTCCAGAAAAGCTTGTGACCTTGCCCCAGGGTGGGGGAGGGGTGAAGATACAGAAAACACTCTGCTCTACGGGAACTTGCACCCTCTGTGCAGGAAGTCCTTTCCTCCTTCCACACCTGGGAAGACTCAGCCAGCTGAGGCGACAGGCAGGTCACTAAGCACACGGGGAGTCTTCCCGCCAAGTAGTCCCTGGCCCCCAAAGAAACACCCTCCAAGCTGGTTATGGTTTCCATCCCTGCAACTCGCAGTATCAGAACCACTTCCTGGAATTGTAACGTGCTGCCAGGATTAATGTTCTTCCCCTTCTAAGAAAAAATGACAGTGCTCATATTTGACACTTGTGTGATGGACTCTTATGACTGAAAAACATGGAAAGGGCTTGGTGTCATTCCTGATGGGTGATGGGCTGTGTGTTATTTTTCATGCCACAGTTTGTGAATTGTAATTGCGGTTTCCTATTTAATTGTAACCGGGCAGAAATTAAAAAAAAAAGTTCAATAAAAATACAAATGTTTAAGCAACTATATTTCCAGAGTTTAGTTATTTCTATGGGTGTTTTTTTTTTTTTTAGTTTTGATTTTATCACTTAAGGAATAACTTTTATATTTTTTGAGCTAAGTCACTTTTGAGCTATGGGAGGTGGGCAGTGGCAGCTCTGTTTGGGGATTGAGTCCCAAAGAAGACTGTTTAAACCCTGCCCTCTGGCCAGGCCAGTGTGGCGCAGGGGTTGAGCACCAACCCAGGAACCAAGAGGCCTCTGGTTCGATTCCTGGTCAGGGCACATGCTCAGGCACAATCTACAGTGCGGGGGGGAGAGGGAGTGTGTAGGAGGCAGCTGATTGATGACGTTTCTATCGCTCTATCCCTCTCCCTTCCTCTTTCTAAAGATCAATAAAAAACATACTTAAAACAACAACAACAAAAAAACACTCTGTCCTCTGTTTTCAGACCGGAGATTCAACTCTTGAATATTGGCTCTGGTTTCTTAAATCAGATCCTTTTCCCAGTGACCTGCTGTCCTCCCGAATCAGAGCTTATGCATGTGTGATAAGCTTGCAAGTTCTCTCTCCCTGGGCTCTTAGCAGCCTGCCACCACCATGTTACTATCGGGGAGGGAGGTGTATATTTCAGGCTGGGACCAGGTACCAGGACCAGAGGCCCTATTCTCCCTGTTTGTTTGACAGGACAGTTGAGAAGCTAAGGAAAGAAAAAGAATGAGGCTGCTTCGTGTAGACACCACAGCCTCTAGAGAAGGACCAAAGCGGGAAAGCCCCAACCTGGGGGCACAGGGAGGAAGGGGCCCCCTCAGCCAGGAGGCTTCATGTGAGACTCCTGAGAAGGTAGGTGGAGCCACCGGGAGCCCTGAATCCAAACGTACCTCTGCCAATGGAAAGGATGAAACCATGAGGCTGGTGGAATTTTGAAAACAGCAGCATAGACGGTTTTGCTCTGACAAGCTGGTCCAGCTGAGTAAGGCCTGTGCCCAGCCCTCTGTCCCTCCTGGTGAACAGGGCAGAAGAGAAGTCATCACAGGTGTCCGTGGTGACAATAGAAGTTCCTGATTTATCACATCGATCACTCCCTCCCAAGTCTATTTCTCCTACTTAATTGTGAGCTTTTTGAAATAGATTCCAGATTTGCTTGGAGTACCACAGGTGGTTAAATTCAAAAGCCCTGGTTTGCCTTTGACTGTGTCTGCTTGTGGCACCCACTGGTCCTGGGTGCCAGAAGGGACATCCCCTGGTAGAACCTGCGGCTGCTGCAGGGAGGGGACCTGGAAGAGGTTCTAGAAAGCAATGGCCCTTTGAAGTTGCCTGGGTTTGATGACATGAGAAAATTCACCTGCTGACAGAAACCCTGTTTGAATATTTAAGCACAAGTAAGAAATATCTTCTTCATCTTGATATACAGGAAAGATTTTTGCATGAAATTAATTTCATTCTAAACACTGTGTTTCATGGATGTTCCATGAAACATCCATGTCTTCTGAGATTTGTTCTTCTGCAAAAGAGTTCTGAGATCAAGTAAGTTTGAGAAATGCTGCATTAAACAAAGCTTAAGAGGTATTGCTGCAAGACTCAGAACCTTTCAGATGCCGATTAAATGGGAGTGTCCAAAGGGGAAAGCATGCAGCATTTCCACGTGTATCTGACTGTGGAAGGAAGTCTTTCCCAAGAGTCGTCTGTGGACATCCTCTGAGACCAGTTTTCCCAAATTGCAACCTGAGAGGTTTGCACTAACAATATCACAAATAACACTAAATGTGAATGGCTTGAACAGCTCAATTAAAAGAGATTTTTGTGATTGGACTAAAAATTTATGCTCTCTACAGGACACAGATTTTAATTTAAAAATATAGGTTGGACAAAGAAATACCAGGCCAGAACACACACACACAACACAAAACTAAAACAAAACAAAAAACAAATGCCACAATAGAGCTGCACTGACTGCACTAATATTAGATAAAAATAGACAATAAAATTTTAAAAAATGAGGGATAAAGAGAGATATTTCATTATGAAAACAGGTCAATCGATCAGGAAGAAAAGGAGATTTAGGACATGCACAAAAATATAGATTCAACAGCGCAGTGCTAAATCACCAGTGGGTCAAAGAAGAAACCAAAATGATGATTAGAAAATCTGAGGGCAGTACAAATCAAGACTTCAGTAAGATACCACTTCACAACTACTGTGATGGCTACCATAACAAAGATAGACAATGGAAGTGTTGACGAGGATGTGGAGAAATTGGGACTCTTGTACATTGCTGCTAAAATGATCAAGATACTTTGGCAAACAGTTTGGCAGTTCTTCAAAATGTTAAACATTCTATTCCTCCACTTTCAGTCTATACCCAAGAGAAAAAAAGGCACGTGTCTATCCAAAAAAAACCTGTCAATAAGTGTTTATGGCAGTTCAATTCATAATGGCCAAAAA